TCTCCCATTCCCTTGGGAAAAAGTGCAAACCTTTTCCAAGCCTCTAGTTTTATCTGTGTACCCTGATCCCAGCAGTCAGGGGGTTCCAGCTCCACAGCTTCCAGAGCGGACATGGAGGTATCTCTGATCTCCGTGGGGAACAGTCACCTTTCTTCACCTAGCTAGGTCTCAGCTCACACAGCCTGTTCCACGAGGGCTTCCCTATACCCTGAAACAAAATTCAGTCCTCAGCCACAGGTATCCACAGCATCTTCCATGCCCTCAACCGTAGGCCTGATCATCCTGTATTCTAATTATCTTCCCCACTACATCATAAGCTTCCCAGGGAGCCCGGCAGGGACTCACACACAGGAAATGCTCAAGAAACAGTAAAATCATGGGACCAGCAGTTAGCATAATGGCTATGTCGCTGGACTCCCACGTAGCCAACGCGGTTCAAGTCCCGGACCCGGTGGCTTAAACTCACGCCGGGCGCGTGTGCGTGCGTGCCCAAGATCCCGAGAGGAGAATGGAGGAGAAGGGATTGTGGCATGGCCATCCCCACTGGGGGGTGATTTCTCGCTTTCTATCTCTCTGTCTCTCTCTCTCTTTCTGGCGAGCGTATGCGCCCTATAGCAAAAAAACTCTCCAAAACATAAAGAGTAAAGTCATAAATGGTCAACTGACAATGAAGGAATGTCAAGAAGCAAGGGTTAACAACTGACTCCTCTCTGTGCACACTAGATCAGAGGATAAACGGCCTCTCTGCTCGAGCCAGGTGTTCCTTTCACCCCTCTAGTTCCGTCTCCTGGTGACACCACTTTCTGCGTTGTGTCAATGATGTATATGTGTACGTATACAGATCCCCAGAAGGCCTGCAGCCTCCCTGATGACACCGATGCTGGGCTGGCTGAGGAAAGGGGCTCTTTGTGTCAATCCCAACAAGTCTAGATGACATAAAAAATACTCACTCAAAGAAGGCTATTAGCTGCCTCCGAGTGGGAGTGACACAGCTGAGATGACAAAGAAGAAAGGGTGGTGTTTTGCACTTTAGACCATCTGACCAAGAGAATCTGGGAACAGACAGGGTAGAGAAAAATAAAGACTCGTCCTAAAGACCTACATGCACTGAGGAAGGGGCTGGGAGCACAACTCAAGGCTTCCTGGCAACTCTCTGCTTGCCCTTCAGCCTTCAGCTCAAACGCCACTCCGACAGAATTCCCTGACATGGGTCCCTGCCCTCCAAAACTGCCACCGGTATCCTGTACCCGCAAAGCAGTGGCGACAACCTTCAAGTGATATTGACATTGCTGCAGCCACCCTTCTACGTGGGAGCCCCATCAGACGGTCTCACAAGAGACCTGTGTGGTATTCATTTCTGCCTCCACAATGCCCCATCCAGTATCTGATGAACAGCAGACCCACTACAGAGCTTCATGGCCTTTCATTAAAATGGTAAGTCCAGGACCAGCAGACAGAGTAATGGTTATGTCGCTGGACTCTCATGTAGTCAACTGTGGTTCAAGTCCCAGGCCTGGCAGCCTAAAACTCATACCATGTGCTTATGCGTGCGTGCCCAAAATCCCAAGAGGAGAATGTAAGAGACGAGATTGTGGTATGGCCTTCCCCTCATGGGGGCGGGGGGGACTTCTTGCTTTCTTTCTGTCTCTCTGTCTCTCCAGCACATATACCCTATAGCAAAAATCTCTCTTAAAAGAAAAAAAAGGTAAATCACCTAAAGCCCAATGGTGTGGGCTGGCTCTGCAGCCTGGTTGTTAAGGCAGCCAGATCCCACATGGCAAGTCTCACCACGCCAGGTGCGTGTGTGTGCATGTCCCAAATCCCGACAGGTGAGAGAAATAGAGGAGGGACTGTGATGTGATCATTACCCGGAGGGTGCCTTCTCCTGTCTCTCTATCTCCATCTCTGGTGAAAGCATACACCCTCTAGCAAAAGAAAAAAAAAGTCTAATGGGATATAAAAGGGCATAATTTCCATTAAGCTAGGAACTTCATGTTTCATGAAATTTCTTTTAAAACCACAGCCTCACTGATGCAGTAGTCCAAACACATTTCTGTCACTCTCACACGGGGAAAACGTCACGAGTCATTCACACGGTACCCTCTGCATACCCTGCACCTTACTGGGAACTAGGGAGTCAACAGCTAGGGCACAGTGTCCCTACCGTCATGAAAACTAAAATCTAGGAGGAGAAAGTCAATAAATAAGCTAATGCATCTGTGCCCCTGTGCAGAGGGGATACGATGGGGGCCACAGTGACACAGCTCCATAATGGAGATGCTCCCCACGGAAGCCTGATGGGAAGGTTGCCAGTTCGTGTCTGGAAACCTCACTGAGCACACGGGGCACACACGTGCCTGTGATCCGAAGCTAGGGATGGCTCACGCCCATCACGGCCATCCTATCGAGGGTACTGTGGCTCTGTCTCTCTCCCTACCACTCACAGAATAAATAAATAAACTTAAAAAAAAAAAAGACATAAAACAAAATAGTCGATTAGCAATCCCACAGGCTGAAAGCCCAGTCTCAGGTATTTTCTTCTAGGAAGATCTGAAAATCCCAATAGTGAGTTTAAAGTAGAAATCAAAATGCCCCAGGGACCACACTATAAGCCTTAACACCCCTTTCTGAGACAATATGGTTAGTAGCAGGTTGTGGGGAGAAAGAAGTCAGTGGTCAGCCAACAGCGGGGGTGACCTCACAGAGGAGACTGAGAGAAAACAAACGAGGGCAGCCCTCAGTCCTGGGATGGCCAGGAACACCCACCTCATGAGTGCCCACAGGTGCAGGGCATGGTGCTAAGCACTCTCCATTCATAACCTCACTGCATCTTCCGAGCAAGTGGACTCTCATCAGATAGCTGCACGGTTTCGCTGCGCTGTAACTTCTACTACATGCAAAGACCAGAAACAGGAGCAGAATTGAAACAGCACAGCCAGTTCCATTCAGGCTGGCTGCCCCAGTGGGAGCATGTGGTAAGGAGACCCACGACTTCGCTCTTCTCCAGGCTGGTCCTCATTCCCACGAGCCTCTTTCCACTGAGAGCGAGTGCAGTGTCTTTCACACAGCACAGTCCCTAATGCGAGCTGACTCTTTCATCTCCTGTTCAAACAAGAAAACCCAGCTGTGCTGGATAGCTTATTGAAAGACTGTGTCGGTTTCTGAAATGGCTTCTTGCCAAACGATTTTCAGGCAGACTGTGATTTTTGGTTAAGTACGACTTTCACCTTCTCCGCTGACTTTGGAATATAGTTACTGACAAGGCCTCACTTCACTCTGTCCTCAGTCACATGCAGGGAAACAGCTCCTCCAAAGAAGAGTCACTTACGGGATATGACTGGCAACTAACAGTGCCAGGACTGCCCTGACCGATTCATTTTTACCCATCATTTTTCTGAACGTCACCTAGCCTCTGCCATGTCTTCTAGCCACCCAAATTCCTTGGACGATACTAGAGGAGGGTGGAAAGAACACGAAGGCAGGAGTGAGCACTGCCAGGGTTCTAGTTTTAGCCCTGCCATTGTCAGCTGTGTGACTTAGCAATCCCACGGGCCGGAAGCCCAGATTCTCAAGTATTTTCTTCTAGGAAGACCTGAAAAATCCAAATAGTGAGTTTAAAGTAGAAATCAAAATGCCCCAGGGACCACACTGTAACCTCTGCCACTCCTTTCTTGGACAATGTGGTTAGTAGCAGTTGTCTACCGGGGCAGGTCATGCACCCATGCATCTGCCTGTCTAGGCTGAGCTCAGAGCCCAACCCTATTCTGCAGTTGCCCCAGGGTTCCCTACAGTATGACCGGGCAGAGCAAGGGGGCAGGAAAACGAGAATCAGCGGCTACAAGTTCAAGCGGCTCTCAGGGCCTGGCAATGCTCGTAAGTGACATGAACTAGGAAGGGCTGTGGCTACGGAGCGTCGGGGGGAACAGCGGCCCAGAGTGATCCCGGGACTTCCAATTTTTCCCAATAAAGCTAGAACTCTGTAGTTTAAATGTTGGCAAACTCAAAACTGTTTCAAACCATTTAAATTAAATAAAGGATGATGATGGACTTCATTCACTCTTCCGCCTTTCAGTTCACTGATCTCCAGGGTCTCTTCAATATCCAGGGAGAGACCCCCCCAAGCAATGAGGATGCGCACTGACTGCCCTTTAGAAGACAGGCGAGCTGGGAGGTAGCCGGTGCCCTGGCTCTGAGGGCAGTGACTATCGATGTGGACCTGAGGAGCCCACCTGGCAAACAGCAGGATGACAAGAGAAGATCCTCCCCGTAAGTCCCACGGAAAATACCAAGACTGGTCTGTGACCTCTGAGAGAAAGAAACTAGGAGTGCCCAGAGGCCATGAGGCCTACGTGGCTGATGATCCAAGTGACAGCTTCAAGCAGGATGACATCACTCGTAAGGGCTTGAACCAGGGAGAGCAAACAGGCTTCGCTGAAAACACAGACTTCAATCAACTGGAAGTGGCTGCCTGGAGTAGTGTGCTGAGGACTCCCAGTCCCGTGTAGTATGTGCTGTGGCCAATTAGCCGTGACTGTCAGGAACACAGGAGGGGGGCGGCAGCACACACTCCATGTATTTGCCACCCCTGGCTTAATCTCCCATCAGCATGGACTCAGCCTCGGCGTCCAGCAGTCAGCCCTGACAGGCAGGAGACGAAAGCTCACGGCCCTGGAAACCCTCCGCAGTAGCATCTTCAAGCGTGGCATGGCAAAGCTTACTGTAGACGGTCTTCATTCACACACTCACACACTCATCAAACAGTTACTAATTTACTTGATTTACACCAAGGGTTTCTGCTTTGGCCTGGGTAATGCAGAGATAGAGATGTTTAGGACACTGTCACTGTTTCTGTCCTGGAGATGCTCACAGTCTAGTGGAAGAGACAGGAAGTCACAGATAATTATGATTGGGTGTGGCAAATACAGAAAGAGAAGTTATGGGAGCTGAGGGTTGGGAGTGACTTAATCTGTTGAACAAAGTAATAGTTAAGTTGGTTCTTGAAGAAAGCAATTTTCTTGACAGAGAACAGGGTTGGAGGAGTGAGTGCTCTAAGCAGAGAGAACAACACATATAATGGTTGAAAACCAAATGGCCAGTTTCACGCCTAAAGTCAACGTGTGTTCACAGATATGTAAATTTCAGCTGAACTCGCTATTGAAAGTATTTGTTGATTTATGTGAATCAATAAAATTGGGGAAAAAATAAAAAAGGAATGGAAAGCAACTGCAGATACCATGGACAGTATGGGAGGAGGATGGGAAATGGCAGAGGATGAGAAATAGGGGGAAATATATATTTAGTATACACACACATGAGAAATAAGAAATGGAAAATTATCTGTTGACAACAACATGTATGATTAAGCCACTTTACAGTGTATTCTGGATGGGAAATCTCATTTTGTATGCTGTGATGATGTTCAGTGAAAGAATGTAAAAGAGGGACCAGCAGTTGGCGTAATGGCTATGTCACTGGACTCCCATGTAGTCGACCGCGGTTCGAGTCCCGGACCCGGTTGCTTAAACTCACGGCGGGTGCGTGTGCGTGCGTGCCCAAGATCCCAAGAGGAGAATGGAGGAGAAGGGATTGCAACGTGGCCATTCCCCGTGGGGGGGTGATTTCTCACTTTCTGTCTCTCTCTGTCTTTCTGGCAAGCGCACACGCCCTATAGTAAAAACCTCTCAAAAAAAAAAAAAAGAATGTAAAATAAATTAATTAATAAAAAAAAATTTTTTTTAAGAAAACCAAATGGCCAACACAGGAAATGGAGAAAACCCTGTCAGCCCTGGAGTGCGGGGTGCCAAAGATTAGGAGGCATAAGGAGTTGATGAAGGGTCTAAAATGTCAGGCTAAGGTGTCTGGCTTCAAGTCTACAGGCAACAGAGCGGATGACGCTTTTAAGTTAAAGAAGACGTAGTCAGATGTGTGGGTTAAAAGCTCACACTAGCTGTGTGTGTTTGTCCACGCTGGGGAGTGACAAGGTGGAGGCTTAAGGGAAAAGCTACTCAAGGCATATTAAACACAAGGATCTGAAGACCTTGGATGTGAAAAAAGGAAGAGAAATCGGGGTGAAGTACCCAGGTGGTAGCTGGGCAGGTAGCGGGGACGATGGTGCCATCTTCTCCCACCAGGCATAAGGAAAGAAGTGCAGGCAGGACCGGGGACACGGCTGCCAGGCCCGCCCCTGGGTTCCGGCGGTGACACCCAGTCCAGGGGCATCACATCAGACGCTCGCTCTGCCGTAAGCAGGGGCCGAATACCATTTCTGAGGTCGGGCTTCAAGATCAGGCCCTGCTCTCTTCACTTCTTGCCCTCTGGGGACTCCAGACCCTTCTGTGACTCTCGCAGCTCCAGAAGCCCTCTCGGCTGCTCCCCTGCAGCCCGGCCTCCGAGCCTCCGTCCTGCCTCCAGCCCCTGTGTGACCCTTCCCATCTCCGGACGCCTCACCCCTGGCCGTCCCTCTCCCTCCGTCCCCACGTCCAGCCGCCTTCCTCCCCTCTCACCTCCCCCGACCCCTGTGACACTTCCTCCTAAGTCTCCAGCCCAGAGCCTGCGTCGCAGCTGCCCCCGCCCCGCCACCCGGACTCACCCACCGAGACACCCACTTCACAACAGGGCGGAAGTGCTCCAGGGCTCGCGCAGGGAATGCTGGGACGCGGAGTCCGAACGGTGCCACCCCGGGAGTGGAGTGTCTGAGACTACGACTCCCAGAAGACACCGCGCGAGCGGCGGCGGACGGCCCCCTCCGTTGGCTGCCCTTCAGAAGTCGTCAGCCAATAGGTGGGTCATCTTCTCACGGCCTCTGGCACTGGGACAAATCGGAACGTTTTTAGCGCGTGGGGGCGGGGCCTGTGCGATCTGGACCCTTTCCGTGGGCTACGGGAAAACGGCACCGCCCAATGGGCGGGCATTCGAGCAGAAGGGGCGGGGCCTGCACGACCCCAGGAGAGCCGAGCAGAAAGGATTAAAGGTAAGAGAGAGTGCTCAGGAGTGACCAGGCTGGTGAGCAGGAGAGCGCGGGACAGCTGGAGGTGCAGTTTCCAGCTCATGGCTCAGCTGCGTGACTTTGGGTGAATTCTGAATGTCGATTTTCTCACCTGTGTAATGAAGATAATAATAGCATCGGTGTCACAGGGTTTTCGTGAGGCTTCAAGGAGATAATACATTTCCCTAGAACGATGAGCTCAGAGCCTAGGTGCGAATGCACATCGAATGTTCGCCATTATTGTGTAATCAGTTAGTGCGGTACTTGGCACTCCGTGGGCGTTGGAAGAATGTTAATCATTATTAGACTCCTCTTAATATAAATGCATTTGCTTTCTTCCATTTGATATGGAGTTGAGCATGTGGCTTTTGTAGTCTGACATGGATCCAAAGCCAACCCAGGCCCAGTACTTCCTAGCAGTGTGGCTTTGAACAAATGAGTGCATCTTTTTTGTCTTTGCTCTCTGCCATCGGTCAGAAGCAGGTACTACTTAGCAGGTAATAGGGCCTCGCAGGACGTTGTGAGGATTTGATGAGATGATGTAGGATAAGCATGATTTCTGGCATCTAGCTCCTTGTGTCTGAAACCGAAAACCACGCCGAGAGCGCGGGCGGCCGCCCCCCTCCGTTGGCTGCCCTTCAGAAGTCGTCAGCCAATAGGTGGGTCATCTTCTCACGGCCTCTGGCACTGGGACAAATCGGAACGTTTTTAGCGCGTGGGGGCGGGGCCTGTGCGATCTGGACCCTTTCCGTGGGCTACGGGAAAACGGCACCGCCCAATGGGCGGGCATTCGAGCAGAAGGGGCGGGGCCTGCACGACCCCAGGAGAGCCGAGCAGAAAGGATTAAAGGTAAGAGAGAGTGCTCAGGAGTGACCAGGCTGGTGAGCAGGAGAGCGCGGGACAGCTGGAGGTGCAGTTTCCAGCTCATGGCTCAGCTGCGTGACTTTGGGTGAATTCTGAATGTCGATTTTCTCACCTGTGTAATGAAGATAATAATAGCATCGGTGTCACAGGGTTTTCGTGAGGCTTCAAGGAGATAATACATTTCCCTAGAACGATGAGCTCAGAGCCTAGGTGCGAATGCACATCGAATGTTCGCCATTATTGTGTAATCAGTTAGTGCGGTACTTGGCACTCCGTGGGCGTTGGAAGAATGTTAATCATTATTAGACTCCTCTTAATATAAATGCATTTGCTTTCTTCCATTTGATATGGAGTTGAGCATGTGGCTTTTGTAGTCTGACATGGATCCAAAGCCAACCCAGGCCCAGTACTTCCTAGCAGTGTGGCTTTGAACAAATGAGTGCATCTTTTTTGTCTTTGCTCTCTGCCATCGGTCAGAAGCAGGTACTACTTAGCAGGTAATAGGGCCTCGCAGGACGTTGTGAGGATTTGATGAGATGATGTAGGATAAGCATGATTTCTGGCATCTAGCTCCTTGTGTCTGAAACTACTGTCAGGCACAGGATACAGGCCTTGCCACTCAATAGTTGGGAACACTGCAAATTACATAACATCTTCATGCCTCAGTTTCCTCTTCTGTAAAATGAGAACAGTTGAGAGGAACAAATAGGGGAAAACATGTAAAGAACTTACTACTTGCCTGGCTACACAGACAGGGCTTAGTAATCATTAGCAGTTTTTGTTTTATTAATAGGTGTGAGACTTTGGGCAAATCAATAGTACCTAGCATATGTTGGCTAGTGTTAAAAGTAGGGGAGTTTCATAGCTTAGTTTGAATGACCCAGTTCAAATTCCCTCTCTGTGAAACATGTTCCAACGTACTTATAGTAATAACTCATGTGATTTTGCTCGACAAATGTGGAAACAACCTAAAAGCCCTCCTTGTTGGAGTCTCACAACAGCCCCATAAGCTTGGTATTGTTACCCCGACTTACCAAGAAGAAGTGGGGTCTTAGAGAGCTGAAGTGACCTGCTCAAGGCCACACAGGCAAGAAGTACCCAGGACTGGAATTGGAAGCCCCGGACATAGGATTCCAACAGAAGATTCTGGGCCCCGTGCTGCACGAGAGACCGGAGGCACAGGGCGAAGGCAGGGTGAGGCAGCACGGCAGAATGGGATTCCGAGAGGAAGGAGAACGTCTGACAAGAGCTTCAGGCTCTGAAACTGGAAAGGCACTTTGCGGGGTCAGGTGAGGACCTCCCCTTCAGCATCCCCTGCTCTGGAGAGGCCAATGTACACAGAGAGAAGGACTCCATTAGGACACAAGAGGGCGCTCCTCACCCTGACTCCAGCCTAGGATTGTCCTGTGGTTTCCCTCAGCCCTTGTCCAATTAAAGCTTGCCATTCTGCAAGAGAGGAAAACTAAGGGAGGCCCCAAGAGGCCAAGTGCCCTGTCTGGTGTCACGTAGAAATAAACAACAGAGCCTGAACCTGACGCAGGTTCTCTCGGGTTCGGTACCCATCAGGACTGGCTTGCAAGCCGATGTCTGCTGAGATTCTCCAACTGGGACAACACTGGGCTCTAAGGGTGGTGAGAGGAGTCAGACCTATCCCTGCACCCACACCTGACCTCCAGACTCTCTGTCAGGCTCTCCTACGAGTAAAACAGCTCCACGCTCCGACACGTGTGTATGATTTGCACACAGTTGACTTTCGTCGGACATCTAGCAATGCCCTATGAGGTGGCTCCTGTTCTGTACATACTGACAAAGGCACTCAGTTCATCCTCGCAGTCCCTTGAGGGAGGATCTCCCGCTGCCCCATACTACACAAACTGAGAGGCAGAGGTTAAATAACTTAGCAAGGCTACATGGCTAAAGAGGCGAGCAGTCTACTCCAGGTAAGGTGGGATACATAACTAAATGGGAACAGCAGGTAGAACATTTTCTTCCCAAACCCCCGTGACCCATCTTGCACCAGCTTGTGGAGACCACTACTCTGGGCGCTCCCAGATCTGTGATCAGTCCTTTGAGAAAAGGAGGTGCTGGAAGTTGTAGGAGTCCAGAGGCCCGGCTTTCCCAGGCCGGGAGGTTAAAGAGGGCTTCTGGAGACAGTGTTGGCTAGCTGAGTGTTAGGGAACACGGAAGTGTTCTGGGGAGAGGTGCCTTTCCTGAAGGAGCAGCACGTGCAAAGGCCCAGAGGCAAGAGCGCCTGGTGTTCTGGGAGCTCGCAGGAGTTTAGCTACAGAACGGAGTGGCAAGGTGGTAGCGTCCTCCCCACCTCCTCACTGTCTTGCCATGAGGCTCCAAAGGAGTCAAACGGGAACAGGTGATCAGCCCGATGCCTCCTGGGCAGAGATCCAGTTTTGGATCCTCAGCTGCAATCCATCTGTAGCCCAGGTGGCAAGAAAGGCTCCTTCGCCCCTTTCGAGTCTAACTGAGCTTGGCCTGGACCCCTTTCCACAGCTAAGGGCAGCCCAGCGCCCTCTGTTCTTCTCTGCATTCTCCACGCATTCCCAGCCTTATCTCTTCTGGGCTAGTTTCTGTGTCCAACCCTTCCGACTTGTGCCTTATGGGTCCCCATCCAGAAACACGAGTTCAATCCAGCCAAGCATCTCGTGGATTTAGTAAATTTACTGAGGTTGTAACACACGGTCTCCTGCCCCATCCCAAATGCCCTCTCCCAGCCCACAGAGCTCCCAAAGCCTGTGCTTCCACATTTGGCCCTCCCTGCAAAGGCAGCAGCCACACCACCTCCGGGCTGCCCCGTTCAGCGCCGCCAGGCTGGCTTGCTTTCCCCGCCCCCCATCCACCGCGTGCGCACCCACTCTGCCCACCCCTACCCAGGCCGCCCCAGTCTGCTCCCCAGCCAAGCCCAGAAGTCAGCCTTTCTTTCATCTTGCTTGGGCCACATGCAGTAGTCTCCCCGGCGGAGCAGCCAGGCCAGTCTGTGGTAGTGGGGGAGCTGGTGACGAGAGATCGGCTCCAGGAAGACCACCAGCAGCACCGGGGGGTGGGGGGCGGCCAGCAGGAGGGAGGTGGCCAGGCGGAGCTCCAGGCGGCAGCGGAGGTTGCGCAGGGCCTGGCGACTCAGCACGCAGAGCGTGACCCGGCTTCCAGCCATGCTGTCGGCCACATTGTCAGCCACATCCTTGCCCGGCTCAAAGTCCCGCTCAGGGAGGCAGAGACGTAGCCCCCAGCCATCCGGAGGACAGCCCTCCAGCCTGGGCTGCAGCTCCCGTACCACCCAGCCCTGGTCTTGCCTGCAGTGGGACACAAACACGTCATAGCGGAACCTCTTGTCCTTTCCCCTCTGACCCCTCACACCCTGGAACCATGCCCTGAGCATGGCCTGCAGGTAGAGGATCCAGGAGCTCCTGGCTTCCTGCAGGAGAGGCAGGGAAGCCAACAGAAGCAGCAAGGCAGAGCTGCCCAGGAAGAGTCCCAGCCCCAAAGTCCGAGGGCAGTGACTCCAGAGAAAGGGGAAAAGGGGGTGCCTGGAGGGGCCCCCAGATTCTAGCTGGCACCGCTGGGATATTGTTGTGTGCATGTATGTCCTGGAAGACCGCTCGAGCCAGGGCCCCACCCAGGCATTGGCGCACTGGCAGGCCAAGAATGAGTTCACGAGGTACATGTACTGGGGCATGTGGGGACTCTGGTCCTGGAGGCTGTCGTCCAGCACAAGGCCTTCCTCCCCGTCTAGCACTAAGACCTGGAGGCTGCCCAGGCCCTGGAAAGCAGCCGCAGACAGCGTCTCCAGCCCCGTCTGTACCAGCTGTAGCACCTCTAGCTTGGGCAGCTCACCCACCAGCTCCTCGAGCCGCACTGGGCGAGGCCGGGAGCAGGACTGCAGGCTATGCAGCGTTAGTTCCTGCAGGCTGGGCAGTCCTGTGATGCGGCAGGGCCTGGGGCTGTGTCTGTCTCCCTGAACCCTCAGGGACCTGAGCCTGGGGAGGTGCCATAGGAAGACGCTAGAGGTGTCCTGAGAGCATAGGGCCTTCAAGCTACTACCAAGCAGGGAGAGTTGATGAAGGGCAGGAAAGGTCTTCGAGATATTCCAGGTCTCCAGCTGTAGGCCCCAGCCATCTAAAGTCAGGGTCTGTAAGACTGGAAAGACATTCGGGGACAGCTCTCGGAGCTTCATGCCAGAGACCGCCTGAAGCTGCAAGCTGGTCAGCCTCCCGGGCAGAGACAAGGCCGCCCCAGAAGGGCCAGAAGGCAACTGCAGTCTCAGGTCTTGAAGATTCTCTGGGCCCCGGAAGTCCCAGGCTAGGCTCAGCACCAAATGGGTGTCCAACAGGTTTAGAGTCCTCAGTGCAGGCAGAGAAGCCAACCAGCCCTTGCCCAATTCTACCAGTGGGTTCTTGCTCAAGTCCAGGCTCTCTAGCCTCTGTAGGCCCTGGAACACCTGGCCCTCGAAGCGGGCCAGCTGGTTTCCCCGAAGCAGCAGCTCCCGCAGCTGGGGCACGCAGGAGAAAGTGACTAGGCTCAGGTTACTCAGCCTGTTGTTGGACAGATCCAGGGCCCGCAGTCCTGCCACAGCCCCAGTCTCGTTCATGCACAGCCTGGCTCTCTGCAGTTGGTTGTTGGCCAGGTTCAGTCTCTGAAGCTGGGGCATGGCATCCAGCAAACCTGGGGGCAACTCGGTCAGTCCAGTGCTCTGCAAAACCAAGCTCTCCAGGCTGTGACAGGAAGCCAGGGATCCCGGGGCTATGTGCCTGAGCCTATTGGAGCCCACATTCAGCTCCGGGGCACCCCCCGCCACAGGCAGCTCGGCCGTGTCCGTGTCCAGCACAGACAGGGTGGCCAGGCTCTGCAGCCCCAGCCCCGCCACTGCTGCTGCCTTCATCTTCGTGTGATCCAGATGCAGGGTCCCCAGCTTGAGGCCCCGAAGGGCCCCGGGGCTGGCCATCCTCAAGCGTTTGTTTAAGGACAGATCCAACATGTCCAGGCTCCAGGGCTGCCCAGGGGAGAGGCCACGCACTAGATCTGGGAAGACGTCGGCCAGCGTCCTCACGTCCTGGAGGCAACTGTACTTGACAGACAGCTGGCGCAGGCTAGGAGGCAACTGGACACTTGAGTTCTTGTCCAGGCAGGGGCCCAAAAAAGAAAGCTGGCGGAGGACTCTCAGGTCACCAAAGGCATCAGAAGGCAGGAGGAGGTATCTCTCCTGGAGGGGTGGAGCCAAGAAAGCGAGATGCTGCAGCTGTCCCAAGCCCCGGAAAGCTCCCGGCAGGACCTGGGTGAGCTGCAGGTTCAGCCCCAGGATCTTGAGCCCAGGGAAGTTGGAGAAAGCATCCCGTGGCAGGACAGAAGGAGAGCCGCTGAGACAGAGCCCCTCCACACTCCCGGGCACGGCGGCCAAGGCCTCTGTCAGGTTGGTCACGGAAGTGCACAGGGCGAGCAGCGACAGGCGGGCGTCCACGGGGCAGATCAGGAAGAGGCGGGAGACCAGAGACAGCCGGGAGCCTTCCGTCACTAGGCAGTTGGAAGCGGTCCAGCCTGTGGTCAGGGGAAAGAGCAGGAGCAGACCGGGCAGCAGCAAGTGCCCGCTCATCCCAGCACCGAGCCTGGTCCACAGAGAAACAGAATCAGAACCCCACTGCTCTCCTCCCTTTTCCAGAAAGGAACCCCGATCCCGCCTCCCGCTCCACACAACATACCCCATACTCACAACAGTGCCGGGCCACACAGCCCGCAGGGTGCGCGGGAGGTGGGGAAGCAGGGGCAGGGGGCCATGGTGCTTCCAGCTGTGGCACTGCTGGGGAATTGAGTGTGTGGGGTGGGGCCCAACTAGAAGGTGCTCGTAGCTGAGGCTCCCAGGCTCAGGGAAAGGAAGAGGTACGCGGGTGGGGAGAGGGGGCCCAGGGCTCACTTCTCCTTTGTGAAGAAGCCAGCAGTGTTTCTGAGCACAAGACTTGGGACCAGAGAGGGCGGCCGCCACTCTGCCGTCATCCAGAGCAGGGCACTTTGCCTCTCTGAGGTTTCGTCCTCGTCTGTGAAGTAAGAGCACTGACGCCGCTCAAAGGGCTTGCTGCAGATGCCGGGCTGTCTCACCGGGGCTGCTCGCTGCTCTGCTGCCTCTCCACCCCAACAGGGAGGAGGAGAGGGCCAGGCGGTGGCAGCAGTGGTGACACAGCAACTGCGCCCACCTGAGAATGGCCCTGGGTTCACATCCCAGGACTTCCCTGAGCTCCCTGTATGTCCACTTGTCCACGATCTGGGCCAGCTGAGACAGGGTGGATCCAGCATGGGGACCCTGCTGGGTCTCTCTCTCTCTCTCTCTCTCTCTCTCTCTCTCTCTCTCTCTCTCTCCCTCCCTCCCTTCCTCCCTCCCTCCCTTTCTCCCTCTCTCTCTCTCCTTCAGGAAAAAAAATGGATAGTATATAAATGTGTAATGAGTGTTTTTTTACAGGAAGAGTGTATTGGGAGTTGTGTTGGTTTCTTTTCATTTTTTTTAAAGAGATTTTTGTTACAGGGCACGCACTCGTGCACAAGAGAGAAAAAGCGAGAAATCTGGGGGGATGGCCGTGCCATGATCCCTTCTCCCTCCTCCTCTTGGGCATGGAGGCACACAGGCCTGGAGTGAGTTTCAAGCTGCCTAGTCCAGAACTCAAACTGTTGTAGGCCACGAGGAAGCCAGCAACTTAACCACTGCGCCACCTGCTGCCGCCCGGGATTTATTTTTTTAAGCAAATGTTTTGTAAGCAAAATAATATGTCAAAATGTTGCCACAATAGGCATCTTATAATGTTCCAGATGGAAGATTCCAAAGCCCAAGCTTCACTTGAGAGGACTGTAGGGCTCCATCCCTGCCCTTCCAGGCCAGAGCAAGGAAGAAAGGTCCCCCAGCCTCGCCTTCGATTGCACTACCAGGATGGGGCCAAGACCCAAGCGAAAAGGAAAAGAAAGGTACTCTACGATGCTGTCAGACAATGCAGTGAGTCATCCGATCGCTGTCAGTCTGCTCAAAGCAATGACTTTTATTAATGACGGTTTATTCATTTGTGCCTAAACCAGCCAAACTGGTCCTGATACGATCATGATGCAGCAAAACACAAAACATCTTTGTACAAATATTAAAGCAATGAACAAATTAGGGATTGTAGTCAAACAGAACCAGAGGGACAGAGAAATCATGAAGGGCATTATAACTAACCCGTCACCTAACAACGGGTTTTTGTTTTGTTTGATTTGTTTCCTTTAACTTTGCTATTGGGGGCATGTACTCCTGGAAAGAAGAGAGATAGGGAGGGTCAGAGAAAGCGAGAAAGCACCGCCAGGGAGAATGGCCACACAGCAATCCTTCCTCCTCCATTCATCCCTCAGGATTCTGGGCACACATGCACACGTGCTGGTGCCTTTTTCAGGCTGCCAGGTCCAGGACTCTCTCTCTCTCCCTCCCTCCCTCCCTCCCTCCCTCCCTTTCTCCCTCTCTCTCTCTCCTTCAGGAAAAAAAATGGATAGTATATAAATGTGTAATGAGTGTTTTTTTACAGGAAGAGTGTATTGGAGTTGTGTTGGTTTCTTTTCATTTTTTTTTAAAGAGATTTTTGTTACAGGGCACGCACTCGTGCACAAGAGAGAAAAAGCGAGAAATCTGGGGGGATGGCCGTGCCATGATCCCTTCTCCCTCCTCCTCTTGGGCATGGAGGCACACAGGCCTGGAGTGAGTTTCAAGCTGCCTAGTCCAGAACTCAAACTGTTGTAGGCCACGAGGAAGCCAGCAACTTAACCACTGCGCCACCTGCTGCCGCCCGGGATTTATTTTTTTAAGCAAATGTTTTGTAAGCAAAATAATATGTCAAAATGTTGCCACAATAGGCATCTTATAATGTTCCAGATGGAAGATTCCAAAGCCCAAGCTTCACTTGAGAGGACTGTAGGGCTCCATCCCTGCCCTTCCAGGCCAGAGCAAGGAAGAAAGGTCCCCCAGCCTCGCCTTCGATTGCACTACCAGGATGGGGCCAAGACCCAAGCGAAAAGGAAAAGAAAGGTACTCTACGATGCTGTCAGACAATGCAGTGAGTCATCCGATCGCTGTCAGTCTGCTCAAAGCAATGACTTTTATTAATGACGGTTTATTCATTTGTGCCTAAACCAGCCAAACTGGTCCTGATACGATCATGATGCAGCAAAACACAAAACATCTTTGTACAAATATTAAAGCAATGAACAAATTAGGGATTGTAGTCAAACAGAACCAGAGGGACAGAGAAATCATGAAGGGCATTATAACTAACCCGTCACCTAACAACGGGTTTTTGTTTTGTTTGATTTGTTTCCTTTAACTTTGCTATTGGGGGCATGTACTCCTGGAAAGAAGAGAGATAGGGAGGGTCAGAGAAAGCGAGAAAGCACCGCCAGGGAGAATGGCCACACAGCAATCCTTCCTCCTCCATTCATCCCTCAGGATTCTGGGCACACATGCACACGTGCTGGTGCCTTTTTCAGGCTGCCAGGTCCAGGACTTGAACTGCACAGACGGCCATGTAAAATCCAGCTGCCTTAACCACCATGCCACCTGGCTGGCCCCAACTAAGTTTTTTTTTTAAGAGAGATTTTTGCTATAGGGTGTGTGCACTTGCCAGAGAGACAGAGAAATAGAAAGCGAGAAATCAACTCCCGCCCCCACCCCAAGGGGGATGGCTACGCCACAATCTGTCCTTCTCTAGTCTCCTCTCAGGATTTTGGGCATGAACACACATGTACCCAGCATGAGTTTCAAGCCGCCGGGTCTAGGACTTGAACCACAGTCAACTACATGGGAGTCCAACAACATAGCCATTATACCATCTGCTGGTCCCCTAGGTTTTTTTTTGTTTGTTTGTTTTTTTGTTTTTTTTTTAATAAGAAAAGCCTCCCAATCTCACACACACACACAAAAAAAAAAAGGAAGAATCCTATATTACACGTCTTTGTATTTTACTTCTTATTCTTGAGGTTAGATTCTAAGATTCTAAAGATTCCCAGACTATTGAGTCATCAGAAAAGTCCTACTGGGACCAGCAGTTAGCGTAATGGCTATGTCGCTGGACTCCCATGTAGTCGACCACAGTTTGAGTTCCGGACCCGGTGGCTTAAAACTCACGCCAGGTGCGTGTGCGTGCGTGCCCAAGATCCTGAGAGGAGAATTGGGGAGAAGGGATTGTGGCATGGCCATCCCCCCTGGGGGGGTGATTTCTTGCTTTCTGTCTCTCTGTCTCTCTCTGTCTGTCTGGTGAGCGCACGCACCCTATAGCAAAAACCTCTTCAGAAAAATAAAAAAGAAAAAGAAAAGTCATGATGTATTTGTCTATGTTTTTCTATGAAAAAATGCATCATGACTTTTCCAACAACCCAATAGTATATTTACTTACCCATAGCCAGAGACATTTTTTAAGAGATTTTTGCCATAGGGCATGGCACTTGCCTGAGTGAGAGAGAGAGAGACAGTGAGAGGGAAAGTGAAAAAGAGAATCTGCAACCCCTTCTCGATTCTCCTCCGGGATCTTGGGCATGCATACGTGCCGGGCATGAGTTTCAAGTCACCAGGTCCTGGACTTGAACCGTAGTAGGCCATGTGAGAGTCCAGCGACATAAATGCTGCACCATCTCCTGGCCCACAAGAAACCTTTTTAAATCATGTTGTTTCCAGCAGCCAGTGTTCGCAAAACCCTTTGATTAAACTCCGGTCATAACACCTACCCTCCCTCCAAATTTACACGGCAGGCACAATGAGAACAGGATAGCATGGTAGAACATGCAGGCTCTAAAACATGCTAAGTCCTGCGAGGCAGAAAGGGATGTAGCCACGACCCAGACTGAAATGTAGCGATATACCCGTCTTCACACATCTTCAGCTGCATGTCCATGAAGTGACTTAAGAAATGGTCCACTGGGGCCAGCAAGTGGTGTGGTGGTTAAGGTACTGGACACTCCCACGTGGCTGACCACGGTTCAAGTCCCGGACCTGATGGCCTGCTTTCTCACTTTTCCTCTCTCTATATACATATATGTCTCTCTCTGGCCAGATTAAAATAAATGAATGAATACATAAAATTAAAATAAATAATTAGTTTAAAACAAAGAAGGCCCACCCCCATAAAAAGGACAGGCCCCTGGTCTGTGCAGTGCTCAGCTACTAGGCGGCATGCTGTGTCGTATTGTATTCTGGCCTCCCCGGCCGCCTCCGATGGCCTCCAAATCACTGGCAGGAGCAATTTGCTGGAACTGCATTCAGGGCTGCAGAGATTCCTCTCTGCCATTACAGAACGGAATGTTCCAGGCCTGAGAGCACCAGATCTGGCTGTTCCAGGACTGGGTGATCTAGGTCGGCTGCTCCAGGTCTGGGTGCTCCACTCTGGAAGGTTTCCCGGTGGGTTCCCTGGGCATCCCTACCAACAGGAAGAGTGGAGGCCCAGGTCTCTCTGGCAGGTGCTGAGCCCTTCTCTGGTCTGGAACCAGATCTTAATAGGTGGGGCTCAGGATGCTGGGAAATTCTTGCACCTGCCAGAGGCTGAGCTACCTCCGTCTCTGAAACTGTCATTGAGTACACACAGCTGGGTTGGAGAGAACATGGTTCTGGTCTTCTGTTTCTTGACCTGGACCTTCTCCTCCTTCTCCATTGAGCTCTTGTCTACAGAAGTGGGTGGATTTACTTTGGGACTAATGGAAGAATCAGAGCTATCCTAGTAAGCTGACCCATGGAGAAAGGGAGACAAGAGACAGTCTCTGCGTGGGGCACCTCAGAGGCTGACACTTCCAAGGATGGATAATCGTCTTTAGGTCCACTAATCAC